ATTGTAGATAGTGTATTGTACTACTGCCATTCAGTGAAGAAACACTGGTGTCTGGACTCAACAGCAATTGTTTCATCCAAATTTCTTCCCCTATCAAAAAACATCATCGGAATGACTGACTGCTCTAATATGCTGCACATCAGCTAAATCGCCTGTTATGTAAGGCAAAACCATAAATCTTGGTTTTCATTCAGTTTCTAGGAGTAATCCTCTAACACACATTCAAAAGTGTCCCCGGCTCACTTACAATCACCTTGGACTAAAAACAACATATTAGGTTTCTTTTGGGGAATTCCACCAGAAACAGAACACCACAGTTATATAACATCACTAAAAAAGAGCACACAATGCTTCATTTTCAAAACAGCCTCAGTTAATTTTACTTTAAGAATACATGTATAAAACCACATTACCCACAAATATTCCAGTATTGGACTACTGCCAGTAAATTAAAAAACAGACTTGTGTCTGGACTCAAATGTCTACTGTGGTATGACTTTACTGAATTTGTTGGTTTCGGTTCACATGGTTACATCATTTAGTCTTTTGCAATAATGGTGTAACAATGTCCTTTATATCAGTCTAAAGGTTGTCATTAAGTCTTCCAGGTCTTTCGGGAATTCTCTCTGTCTACTGTGACAACCTAATATTGAGAGACCTAACACAGAGGCAAAGTCATGACAGCATCTCAAACAGAGGAAAAAAAAGACTTCTCCTGAACAAAGATGGAAACATGAGAACTTTTTGAGGATTTATGCCTGTTTTTGTATAAAACAGAGTTTGATCCTGGGTGTGTCTGCGTTCTTTTCTAATTAGTTGATTAAACTATTAAAATTCTTAAATGACAAAAGAAGACAAATAATAAAATACATTAACAGCTGATACTCACAGTAGACCTGTATGGTGAAGGGCAGGGTTTCTTCTTTAGACAGGGAGTCACCGCTGATGACACACTGGACCTGGTGACCATTAATCTCTCTCATAGGTACACCAAACAGAGAGCTGACTGTGGTAGTCGTACCGTTGTCATACTTGGTGGAGTTTGTTGTCGTCCTCACTTTGTCTCCCAAAGCACCAGTGAGCCACCTCACCTCAGCAGGAGGCTTCGATCCAGCAGCCGTGCAGGTAGCAAATAAAACCTCTTCTGTGCCCAAAGTCGGAAGGTTGTCCTTGATGTGTGTGAAAGGAGGCACTAGGAGAGTTACAGAAAACTAATAATTCAATATGTAAGCATGACAGTAAAAGTAAATCTGACTACATCTCATATACAAACACATCTCTTAAATACAAGTTTTTGTTTTTTCTATACCAATCACTATAAGAGGTATCTCAGTCTTCTGATTTCCACTTGGAAACAATGTGAAGATGCACGTGTATCTGCCTTCATCCTTCAGTGCAACACTGGATAACTGGAGGGTTCCATTTTTGTTGTTAAAATTCCCGATATATTTAAATCGATCATCCTGTCCATTGACAAATCGTGGTCCTTCCCTTGGTTGGACAGTGATAAAATTGTCATTATGAGGTTTTTCTCTGGTTGTCCTCTGCCAGGTAATCTGCGTCAAATCATCATCAGTGTGGATGATTTGGCACGGTAAGATAGCAGTGCCTCCTTGAACCACTGTCACACTTCCATCAATCACCTGGAGACCTGTAAAGAGCATGAAACACTATTAAAGCTCAGACCTCAGCGTAAAAATAGAAACAAGAAAGAAGCAGATTTGCATAAGGTAAAACACCAGTTTCACAATTACAGCTACAAATCCAAATAGGATCAATTTTTCAAAACCTGAACCAGGACTATCAGAGCAGCTTGGCGTCTGGTCTGGGTGAGGAATAAGGAATTAGTACTGTGCAGATCTAATCAGGGAACTGAACTGAATAGTCATATTTTTTCAGTTTCCTTTCAATTCAACACAATTTTATTTAGAAATCACAACAACAGTCACCTCAAGGCGCTTTATTATGTAATGTAGACCCTACAATAATAAACACAGAGAAAAACCCAACAATCATATGAGCCCCTATGAGAAAGCACTTTGGTGACAGTGGGAAGGATAAACTCCCTTTTAACAGGAAGAAACCCTCAGCAGAACAAGGCTCAGGGAGGGGCGGGGCCATCTACTGCAACTGGTTGATTGAGGGAAGGAAGACAGGCCAGAAGACATGCTGTGGAAGAGAGCCAGAGATTAATAACAAGTATGATTCAGTGCAGAGAGGTGTATTAACACATAGTGAGTGAGAAAGGTGAGTGAAGAAGAACTACTCAATGCATCATGGGAATCCCCCAGCAGCCTATGGTTATTGCAGCACAACTAAGGGAGGATTCACGGTTTATTTCTTATCTGTAAGACTTGGGAGAGGGAATGCTACACATGGGAAAGTTAACCTTCACAGCTTTCTCACCAAGTCCAGTCAGGAGGGTTTGTATATATGTGGTCACATGAATTAAAGTAGCAGAAGCCAAAATCTTTTAATGAGAGGAGGGTTTGCAGCTAAAACTACTAAAAGATTTTTAAAAGTTTTTCCTGAACTAATAAAAACAAGTTTCCACAAAATGACTACAGCCTGTCAACTGCCATTAAAGTAAAAATTTAACCCGAAAAAACGCACAAACATTACGCTTAGCTATTTGGTGTCCCTGCAGGTAACTAATTTTTCCCAAAGGGCTACATGAGAAACTGGAACTGCTGTGTCTGTACCTGAGCCGAACTCGATTCTTCCCAATATCAAACTGGCTCTCTCTTTACAAACTGGTACAAGTAGTTGTTTTAATGAGACAATGAAAACGTGAAATAGGCATGGCAAAAGCAATAGCATTGTAATCTCTATTTAATCAACATTCCCAAAAACAAATGTGATGCAAAATGTGCAGATTTCTGCAACATTTCGCTTTATATTCAAAAAGTGTTATTCCTGTTTCGGTTGTACTTCACTTACTTCATGTTCAGTGTTTAAGTTCTTTTTGCTTGTTCAGTAAGAGAACTCTAGTCAGTTAGTCAGATTTGGACAGCATTAATTGTAACACCTGCCAGTTCATTTCATTTCAGCCTAAGCCCATCCAAGCATAAATAAAACAAACAAAATCTTTGTACGTACTGTTCGTTTCTCTGGTCAGCAGGAGCGCAGATATTATCGCCAAACAACAGATGATCGTGGGGAAATAGCGCGACATGACTTCTCGTAGTAGCATAAAGAAAACAACACGCAGCTTCTTTTCTTCGCTTTTCGCCCTTGTTATTCCCGGATAACTGCTCTGATGAAAAACAGCCCTCCAGGCTCCAGTACTGAGTCGTGTCTGGCATCCAGATTGCGAAGGATACTTCTACTTAAGTTTAGGACAAAAAAGGGTGAAAAAAGAAGAACAATATAATATGTACATCATAGGATTATCAGAACTTGTTGCGTTTGAAAAACTCTCCCGTCAGTTAGAAACAGGACCGTGCGGTGGGGGTGGGGGAGAAATGAGAGGAGGAGTTGCATGGAGTTTAGAAAAAGTAAGATTAGGATATTCGCTACTTAAACTGTTTTACAATTGCGCTTTGTGTGTGTGTGTGTGTGTGTGTGTGTGTGTGTGTGTGTGTGTGTG